CTGAGTATATGTCAGTCTCAAGTTCATTTACGAAACAATGTGTAATTATAGGTGAACATTCGAAGCTTTACCTTGACAACCCAAGGGAAAGAGCAGATTGAACTTCCTTGAGTGAAGATAATGTGGCCAGTAATTTTGCAAATGTTTCAAAAGTCGAGGCTCCAAAAGGAACTTCCATAGACAGGGAACTGTAGCCATACACGGTTAAGTGAGCCACGCTTTGCTTGAGATGTGCAATTCCTCTCTGCAGATTTCTGAATGTTTCAACAGAATGAGGAGAGGCAGAAGAAAGACTGACGACGTCAAGGTCATGATAATCTTCTTCTACACTTCCATCTGATTTCAATGAAGTGACACCAAAATTGGTTGTTTCTCTACCTGTCCATGAACTTTTCCCTTCAAAGGAGTAGTAATCATGGGATGGTACAAAAAGGGGATACTCGTCGCTGCAACAAACAAGATTATTTAAATTTCTAGATTTAACGGAGAAACAAATAATCCCTGCGATGTGAAACATGGTTTACCTTGGAGAAGACGGATGAGAGTTCCAATACGAATCTCGCTGCCATATTCTTGAACAAGAACCCTGAGACAAAATCATGCAAACTTTTTTATCCTACTTAATCAATCAATTTCCAGATGATAAGTAATAGATAGTCCAATATTAACGAATTATCTTCCAAATTTATTTCCTATGCAAAACATTGCATTCAGCGTGTGTGTGAAATCTTCCAAGACTGAGGCAAATGTTTTTAGCATAAAATTGAGTTAAGGATGTGTTGGCATCTACCCCAAAACCCAAGGTATGGAGTGCAGGCACTGAGAGCTTATGGACAACAAGATTCAGAAGCTGCACCATGTACCTGATCCAACCAACAACCATGGGAACGTTATTTCATCAAACTACCAACTAAACATAAAATGATTACGAGTACAATGGTCTGCAGAGGTATAAGATGCGCTTAAGAGATTGATTTCCATATTTCTTAACATACTCTTGTGCCAAAAAATGACAGTTGAAAGACGAGGACATGTTACCCTAAAGAGGCTGCAAGCTCTTTTGGTGGAACAGAGAGTGGGTTGTGACCTTGTGGTAAGAGAGCATTGCAGATTTGATCATACTGTCCATTACACCCATCTTTGTTTTGGCCATCTAGTGTCACCTGAACAGAGTTTGATTTAGTAAAACCATAAGAAACAGGATGTGTTTTACAAAGTTCTTTTTGGTAAAGAAACCTATATGTTCTATGAAATCTGTATTTTAATAGCATTATAGATAAGAACCTCTAATTTGATCTCCTTACCCTGGATAGAGGAAATAATTTGCGTATCTGTTTCATAACCAAAGCCTGTTTATAAAGGCGTTCTGAAGTAAGCTCGATCTGTAAATCACAAAATGCTGGCTTAGAGTTCATGCATGTGAGTTTGTATATATGGGAAATGACTACAAGAGTTCTCGCAACGGACTAGTTCAAGTATGGAATTAAAGTATATTATGAGATGTAGATCTTACATATACCAAGTAGTGATTGCCAATAGTATCTGAATAGTGGTTCTCCAATTGGTGAACACGGCTCTTCTCCAACTGCAGAAATGAGACAGATGAGACTGTTTACATTAGCCATGGAAAAGTCAGCTTTATACAATTCCTTTAAAGGCGAAAAGGAATAAATTGAAAAAAAAGTGTCACATTGACATTACAGCAACGTTAGTTGATTCGATAATGCCGTATCTCTCTTTCAGATTACGAGATAGCCTCTGAAATGTGCTTTTGCCTGCATCATAAAGTAGGTCTTTAGACATGGTAGTTCAAAGACGATGCCAAAGAAACGAGTTTCTAAAGGAGTATCTTCACACTTCGCTGCAATTTCTCCACTTCTAGCTGGAGCTTATCCCGCAACCTAGAAAGCTTCTCATTATGAAGCTCCATCCAATGACGTTGACTAATTGCTTTCTCCTGGTCAACAAGTGAAGAACACGAGCATCAGACATCGTTTTTCGCAAGAAAAGCAAATGAATTTCAACTCTTCAATGAGCTCATAACCAAACCTTTGTGACAAGCAAGTTACTTAATCTCAAGTACGAAATCTCCCGACGGCTTTTCGACGAATCCAACATAATTTTGTATTCATTTAACCTGCACAAGGGTCCCAAACAATGCACAAAGCAACCACATCAATCACATACTTTTCTTGTAAAATCTGTATCGAAGAACACCAATAACCATGTCAAATCGTCAGAAATCGATATCGAAATACCTGTGATTAACACAAGCTGCGCAGATTGAAGCACGAAACGAATTGTGACAAACCGCACATTTACTGGATTTCTCCATCGATCCTTAAAATCCCCCAAATTCCTAGGGTTCAGCGACAGTGTCAATTCGACGTTATTCTGCAATCAGAACACCAATATAACCAATTCAGTAGTTCGAGCTAATAGCTACGCAAAGAATTACAAGAATCGCTGAAATTTCCCAGTGCCATTGAGCATAAAACTTAATCGGAGAAGAAATAAACGACAATCACCTGCGATAGGATTCGACGGTGGATTTGAAAGGAACGATCCCGTATCCGTCGTCGACGCCGGAGAAAGGTAGCGTCCGGTAAACGTTTGAGGAAGAAGCGGGAAGATTTG